CATACTGATATACACCTGAACATCAGCAGGAGAGGACTCTTTAAAGTAGAGACACTACATACTGATATACACCTGAACATCAGCAGGAGAGGACTCTTTAAAGTAGAGACACTACATACTGATATACACCTGAACATCAGCAGGAGAGGACTCTTTAAAGTAGAGACACTACATACTGATATACACCTGAACATCAGCAGGAGAGGACTCTTTAAAGTAGAGACACTACATACTGATATACACCTGAACATCAGCAGGAGAGGACTCTTTAAAGTAGAGACACTACATACTGATATACACCTGAACATCAGCAGGAGAGGACTCTTTAAAGTAGAGACACTACATACTGATATACACCTGATCATCAGCAGGAGAGGACTCTTTAAAGTAGAGACACTACATACTGATATACACCTGAACATCAGCAGGAGAGGACTCTTTAAAGTAGAGACACTACATACTGATATACACCTGAACATCAGCAGGAGAGGACTCTTTAAAGTGGAGACACTACATACTGATATACACCTGAACATCAGCAGGAGGACTCTTTAAAGTGAATTTAGTAGTAGTAACGCCAATGTTTCACCAAATTATGAATGTATTTAAAGGGATTTCACTCCTATTCTCAGTGAATGTGATGTTTCCTTGTTTAAAGCCATAACAAAGTCACGTGTTCAGCTCATGTCGACCAACATCTCTCACTCATTGTGACTCATGCAATTAAATCAAACAGAGGACAGAAGATTCAATATTTCTCAGATCACTTCCTGCCTGTAATTTCATTGCATGTTTTGTTACTTCCTGTGCAGTCAGGTAGCTGCCAAGTTAAACTGGATGAATATCAGAGAGTCGTTTGGTTCTTAGATTGTTGCTTCATACAGCTGGAAGTTGCTAAGAAGATGAAGACATCACGTGTTTCCAAACTGAAGCTACTTGTTGTCTCTATTAGGAAATATCCCAGTCCTCTTTATATATCACAATCTATCAATCAGCTTTGTTATAACTGTATATGTGATTTGTTTAATTATAGTCATATTTCTCCTCCTATTATAGTATAAGTAGTAGTAAAAGATAAATTAAAAGACAGCTTTGGTTACGTTACAAATTACATGTTTGCATATATATTGTAATAAAACAGATTTTTTTTGAAAAATTAATGCAATCATTTAAATCATCTAAAATACATGCAGGTATTTTTAGATTATTTTTCGGCATTGATTTCTTGTACATTTAATACTTTACCTACATTTCGCTGATTATACTAACTTACTTTTACTTTAGTAAGATGCAAGTAAAAAATGCAGGACTATTACTACTTTAACTGAAGTATAAGACCTTGTTCCAGCTGTTTAAGTCATTATATCAGCGTGCGTGCGTGCGTGCGTGCGTGCGTGCGTGCGTGCGTGCGTGCGTTCCTGCTGCAGAGCAACCTTTAGTAAACTGAGTTCATTGAACTGCAGTAGCTGCTGGTTTGTGGATCAGAGCCAGAGGGAAGTGTGTAAACTCAGCCGGGATCTTGTGATCATGCACAGAACGGAGAACACACACACACACACATCCACACAGAACAGAGAACACACACTGCACAATGATCCTGTCCATTACGGTGGGAACACAGGAAGTGGTGGAGGTTTAGGAGGAAGATGTAAGATGGAGACAGTTCTTATGAAAACACTCCCTGTTCACACACATCAGGCTGCAGGCTGTTTGCTGTGGGTGTGGCTCAGCTGATACATCACTTAACAATCATTATTGATATCACAACACACCCACCCGTATTGGTATATGACCTTTATATATACAGTATATACGTTCTGTGTGGCCTTCATCAGGGAGTCTATTAAATTGTTTAAAAGCACGTGTCTATTCAACTGCATTCAGAAACATCTGTTGAGGGAAATCGTGTTTTCAGTCGCTTGAAAAACGATTTAAAAAGAAACCAGGGCTGTGCAATAAATCAATATTGTGATATGTGACAAGATAATGCCTGAGGTTTCAGATAGAAGCGTCTTTTCCTGGTTTGAAAGGATTTAATACAGTAAAGTCATTTTAAGGATTTATTAAACAGTTCTAGCTCTATTACTGTTGTATTTTACCCATGACTGATATGTAAATGTGAATATTTGTCAATGTCTTCACAATATTGAGTTTTTGATCAGTGTGTGCTCTTTATTTTTCTCATACTGCCTGTACCTCTTTTCACCCTCTGTCTGAAACCAGAGCCCAGTCTGCTCTGATTGGTTAGCTGATCGGCTCTGTTGTGATTGGTCAACCACTTAGGCCTAGGCTCCACGGGAACGAAAACGGGTTGAATCCGCATATTTCTCATGCGTATAGCCCTCTAAGCTCGACGACGCCGTAACGGAACGGTAGAAACGGACCCTGCAAACGACAACGGGTCCAAAGGTGGATAGATCTGGGAACGGAGCGCTCTGGGGGGTCCAACGGGGCCGTGTGGTCGCCTATACAGTCATCCGTTTCTGATAATGACGACGCAATAGCCGTGCCTCTCCCCGCCTCTGCTGCTCACCCCCGCAAAAGTACACTGCACACTGAATTCAGATTATTTATCTTTATCTCGATATGGACATAAACGCGAGTGAAGTCTAATCTGACAGGACGGAGACACGCAGCTCCTGCCGCTGTGATGCAGCGGGAGGAAAACACACACTTCAAGTCAGATCACCACCCTTAGCTATTTTAATTACCTCTCAAACTACCTAAACTAGTTATAAATATGTTTATTTTTACTGTCGAGTCATCATTACTGGATCAGCTGCTGCATGAGACAGACACTGATGCTGTCAGAAGAGAGGAACAAGAGACAGGCTCCGTGTATTTTATTATTATATATCATTATATCGTCGTTATTCATTTGTTTTAAAGCTCAATAAATAACAATGAAGACCTTTGACCGGCACTTTTATAATTTTGTCCGGAAGATTTAAACTTTAACACACGTTGACCGGCGAAAAACTCTGCCCGGTTCCCTCGGCCCCGACCGCGGAGAATACACAGAAGTGCAGCCATGACAACCATTCTTCTTCGCTGCTTTTGTGGAGGAAGTTGCTGCTTTTGTGGAGGAAGTTACAGCGCCACGTACAGGCTCGGCATATGTACTGCAGCTTTTCCAGCGGTTGGATGTAAACGGAGCCGTCTCGTGTAGCTTGACACAATCCGGTTGCGTGTGGACGGAAGCTTTTTGGCGTTTGCGTTACTCCTATGCGTTTTGCCGTATGCGTTCCCGTGGAGCCGGGGCCTTAGAGATGTCCCGCCCCTTAGCCTATCACATACAATGTGTTAGAGCTAGCCAAAAGAAGCGATTGTATCGTGATGTCATTATGTTACGGAAGTAAACAAAGGAGTTCAATGGAGGCGATTCAGGCGTTTGGGAGAGAAATCCACAGGGATTTTAACCTCTGAAGACCATTTACATGCACTAAAACCTGGATTAAAATGACACATTTTCCGAAAGAGCTTAGTGTAGCACCTTCTCCTTAGAGTTTAGGTTTGGATGATATGATGTTTACATTGTAGAGCAACTCATTTTCCAGACTATCAGAGAGAGAGAGAGAGAGTGCAGTGAAGTCTCACCTCTCGCTCTGATCCTGGCAGACTGACAGAGGTAATAAAGACACACCCTCCACAATAACAGAGAGCCATTGAAGATGTCATGTGATCAGAGTAAACAGTGAGAGCTGATACGGAGCATGTGAACAGAATCTGATCGATTTAATCTCGTTATTCATTAACACTGACACTCCCAGAATTCATCAGGGCAGATTAAGCTGCATTCACAGAGGAACTGCACAGATGATGCACTCTGGGTAAAAGTCACTGTAAAATGTTCACTACGGGTCGAGGTGATCTGCTTTCTCTCACTGTGTCAAACAGAATCAGAGACGTTTCATCAGTTCATCAGAAAACCGTGGTGTAAAGTAACTAAGTACTTTACTTAAAGGTGGGGTTGGTAATTTTGGAGAAACCAGCTCGAGTGTGCTAGAATTTGAAAATACACAGCCGGAACAAATCTGCCACTTTCTTACAGAGCCCCTCCTCCAACACACACGAACGCGCACATGACCAATGAGGGCACGAGATAAGTTTGTGCACAGATGGAAGGCTGACAGGCAGGTAGGCCATCCAGTTATTTTAGCTTTTTACAGTACTACGGCTTCCACAGATGAATTTTCTTTATGGATTTTTTGTCAATGCACTTCAGATATTCATTGCTATCGGGATGTTAAGAGCATTCCATGGAATATAACAAAAAGTGTATCTCGAGCCGGTTTCTCAAACTTACCTACCCCACCTTTAAGTAAAATGTTGAGGTACTTTGTACTTCTACTCCACTACATGTATTTAATACCTTTAGTTACGTTACAGATCTGGATGAATGATGTGAAATATAATCAAGTCTCAAACTAGCTGCACCTTTACCAGCTTTGAGAACACTTTAATGATCAATCATGTCTTTTTTTTATTTGAGTTTAGTTGAGCAGCATGAACAGATATTATAATTTCCTGATGGACAGATCTGCGTCAAGTCATCCATAAACAAGTAGTTATTCTTACATGAAAATTAAGTCATAAAATTAATTAAAACATTTTCAGATGTGTTTTACATTGGCACTTTTTTCTAAACGTTGTTTTCAAAAAGGTTATTTTCTTTAATTTATTCCAGCAACTTCAATTTAAGTCAAAATAAAAAAATATATCCCAGCAAGGATGTCCCCCCTCATTTTCATGCACAACACCTTCCTATAAATATATCTATTGTTTGTTTATTTTTATTTTTATATGTATTTATGTGAAGCACTTTGGATGTGTTTAAAACATAAATGAATACAGTTGAGTTGAATGGTGGCCTGTTATTTAAATCTCCTTAAAGGGTTACTTTCTTGTCTTTACTGTTATTTATTTCCTAGTTTTTTATGTATTTATGTGAAGCACTTTGGTTGCATGTTTGAGAAATAAAGTTGAGAGTCTTTACTCACTCGTTCTCCAGCAGGGTCATGCAGACCACCTCTTTGACCCCCGGGTTGTTGGCCTTATCGCAGCAGCAGCTCTGCAGGCTCCAGGTTCCAATCCGGACCACCGGCTTCCCGTCCCGCAGCCCGGAAAGAGGCTCCAAGTCCGGCCTCGATGAGAGCATGTGAGCCGGTCCTCCTGGATCCATCTCCTCGCTGCTGAAGGAGGTCGGGCTCGGGTGAGACCTGGAGGTAGACGGAGCTCTGGACCTCTCCACAAACACCTGGAAACGGATCCGGTCTAACAGAGAACTGTTGATGTTTTTCACCCGAACCAAGTCCTCGATGCTCCGGAAGGGACCGTGTTCCCCCCGGTAGGCCGCGATGTTCCCCGCGATCCTCTCCGTGATTCCCCGGAGGCTCTGCAGCTGCGCCGGGGTCGCGGTGTTGATGTTGATCCCGGAGCCAGGCGTGTGTTCCGCGTCTTTACGCACGGAGGACGGGGAGTGTTGCGAGGAACCAGTCCGACTAGAAACACAGATCTCCAGCTTTATAATCTCCAGTTTGGTGGCTCCGATCCCGCTCACTAAAGCCAGATCCTCCACCTTTCTAAACCCCCCGATGCAGTCCCGGTACTCCGTGATGTTCTGCGCCACGGCCCGGTTCACCCCCGGCAGAGTCATCAACTCCTCCTCGGTCGCAGTGTTGATGTTCAGCCGCTCCTGGTTCACCAGAACCGGCCCGAAGTTACAGGCGGCGCTGAATTTACGTTTCCCGCAGCTGAAATCCGTGGGGTCCCGGGGGATGGACCGGTGACAGCCAAGGCTACCCCCCATGGTCCCGGATCAGAGAGAGAGAGAGACACCCCGGGAGAAGAGGTCCGGATCAGAGAGAGGGAGACACCCCGGGAGAAGAGGTCCGGATCAGAGAGAGGGAGACACCGGGCTGGAACAGAGGAGAGGAGACAGTCAGAGGTATAGACACACTCACACACACATATCTATAACATGGGAATACCCAAGTACAAGTATCTTATTGTGCTTAAGTACAGTACTTCAGTACATCCAAGATAAGATAAAATAAGATGGACCTTTATTAATCCCCATGGGGAAATTCTGTAGTTTAACAGTAACAGGGTAAGAATGAAAAACAGGACAGCACAGATTCACACAGATTAGAGATTAATACAATTAAAGATACAAATACAAATGATATACAGTTAAGTAACTTTAAAATAAGAAATGAATTAAAATGAACGTATTTGGGTCCTATACATATTAGATATATTTACATGTATGTGTGAAAACCGTGTGTATTTTATGTCCAGTACTTGTGTCACACATAAATATCTATAACATGATAATGGTGATAGAAACACACATATAATAAAAAAAAAAAATACGCACCTATCAGATCTGACCTGATCAGAGAGGGACACACCGGGCTGGAGCAGAGGAGAGGAGACAGTCAGAGGTAGAAACACACACATATATAACATGATAATGATGGTAGAAACACACATATATTCAATTCAATATTCAAGGCTTTATTGTCATGTGTACATAGCTACAGTGTAGATATGTCAATGGAAATATTTCCTGGCTCCTCCAACAGTGCAACACAATAACACTGATAAAATAGTGCAAGTAAATACAAATAAAATAGATATCTATAACACTATAATGGTGGTAGAAACACACATATCTATACCATGATAATGACTTTAGAAACGCATATATATAATAATAAAGATACGCACCTCTCAGCGGTCCTCAGGCCGGGTTTACATGCTGCATGAGTCCGGCTGTCGGTGTGTGTTTTGCGGCAGGATCGCGCTGGTTTTACCGGGAGCAGATCTGTAAACTTTGCCCTCCAACAGCAGCGGGGTGACTGTTCACAGGTCGGCCTCCACACACACACTGACACACACACTTTCTGTCCTCAGCTCAGCCTCCACACACACTAACACACACACACACACACTTCTGACAGCGCTCACATCAATACTAACCTCCAGCGTGCGTGAAGGAGCACAGCTTCACCGGAACACATAGAGTTGACCTTCAAAATAAAAGAAGCCTCAGTGATTAGGTGCATCAGAATCAGGTTTATTGTGAACTTCAAAAAATAAAATTAACGTCCATGATCTCCTGATAAAATAAATAAAGGCATATAATTTAATTGCGTGGAGTTGTCCTGTTCACACAGCCAATGTCGATTAAATCCGGCTTTTATTTTGAAATCTGTGGTTTAATACTTCCTGGAGTAGCAGCAGGAGGGGGCGTGGCTTCAGACATGACAACCAAATGTTTTGTGTTGCTGTGGAAGATACGTTTATTACTTGCATGTAAATTATTATAAGGGGTTTATCCAAATCTAAATTTGTTTTTTTATCAAAGTTCATAATTAATATTGTTTCTGATGAAGTAACAAAAAGCTATCTTCATTAAACCAGGATTCAAACAAAGTTTAAAAGTGCACCTATCATGCTATTTTTAGGCAATATTATAGGTCTCAGATATATACAAATATATAAAAAACATGTCTTTGAAGTGTTTTGCTCAAAATACCAAACAGATCACTCATTCTAGCCATGCCTCATATCCCTCTATTTCACTTCCTGTTTCAAAAGTGCTGATTATAACTAGCTGATATAAAGCTTTAAAAAAAACAATTGATAAAAAATAAAAAAGGAGGGGTCTGAGCTTATGCGGGACCCGGCAGCTACTGTCTAAACTAAATACTGCCGTGATGAAACGCCATATCATGGATTATCAAGGATTGTTTCTGAAACAGTATGGAGCTCAAAGGCTTTCTCTCTTGCCGGTTATACCACAAGGTGAGTTCCTTTTTATTTCCTGCTTCTTCACACACATGCTCTCCAGTACAGGTTAGCTCTGAGTGTTAGCGATGCTAATGTAAACACCGACCATATTACGTCCAAAACAGTCGGACATTGTTTCTGATAGCAACGTTTCTGATAGTGCTGTGGGTCCACATTTCAGATATTACGTCATATCGGACGCAAATCTGGATCAGCTCAGTTGTTCCCCCGTTTTTAGAGATTTGGGTACGGAGGAAAAGAGAGAGGGTTTTATTTTCTGACGCTGCGTGAGTCTCCTGACACATCGGGGACACATATGTATGTATAAAAGACATAAAAAAGTGCATTTTGCATGATAGGTCCCCTTTAATATATCGGTCGATGCCAAAACAACAACACAAGAACCTTAACAAATATATATTCCTATAAATACTTGGATCTAATGTTGTCTAGAACAAGTACTGTAGAACATGTAGTTTATTCAGTCACTAAACAATTATTCTGCTGGTTAAAAAGTACATTTGTTAAGCGTTATGTTTGTATTTAAGCCAATATGTACTGTATATGTTTTTCGGGTTGTTATGAACTTAGGAACCTAGGATCATGAGTGAGAAATGAGAGCATGTGATTATCTCTCCGGCTCCTTCTGCTCTGATCCTGCCTGATTAAATTAGCATAGCATTTTCATTTCAGATAAAACACTTTAATTTAATTCTTTTGTCAAAAACGCACGTGATTACCCATTGATCTGAAGCTTTCTCTGTTCTGTGACAGTGTTGATAAACTTAATTTAAAGACAGAATAATTCTGCTTTTATCTACTGAATTTTGCCTGTGCCTCAAAATTCAACATGAGCTGTTTTTTTTAAAGGGGACCTATCATGCAAATTGCACTTTTGTACGTCTTTTATACATGAATATGTGTCCCCGGTGTTCCAGGGAACTCACCAAGTGTCAGAAAACACAACCCTCTCTATTTTCCTCCATACCCAAATCTCTAAAAAAGGGGCTGCAACGGATCTGATAAAAACTGATCCAGATTTGAACACTGTCCTGACGTCAGGACGGTGGCGCTACGGCTATTGGGCCAACTCCACCAATCAGGAGGAGACAACCACGGCATTGCCGTTCGAAAGCGCTGGAGACGCTGTAGTACATATGCCAGGCCTGTAGGTGGTGCTGTTCTCACAGAATCTGCCCTTGCAAAAACAGAGCTAACATTTTTCAAATTGAGCGAAATGAGGCATGGCTAAAATGCATGATCTGTTTGGTATTTTGAAAAAAAAAAAAGTATAAATATGCCTTATATAGGTATGGTCCTACACTATATTATTCAAATATAGCATGATAGGTCCACTAAGCTTTGTTCCTTTGATGTGAGCAGAGGTTAATCATTGGAACAAAAAACACCTTTAGCTCACCACCGCTAAGCTAAAGGAGGCTAATGTTGGGCTTTAGAGAGGCGAAGTCCCTCCCTTTCCGGGGGAGCTCCATGGGACCTAAAAAGTATGTATTGAAGTCAATGGAGAGAGAAAGATTATCTTTCGATCCCGTTTGAATTGTGCCACGAATTACACATATGATGTTTGTCAATTTAAAAGATAATTTTACAAGTCAAAAAAATAAAAATGTGTGGTAAAACTGAAGTAACACTTTTTTTGTGTGAAACCGCTCAATGAACTCCATCTCCCGTCTCGCATCACACACCCAGACGGCCGTCACGTTGGCACATTTCACTTCTTTCTTTCAGAATGAGGCGGAAAGTATTAAAAGAGGTGAAAATCACTCCAAGTCTGGGCATGTTGAGAGCTGCACATACACACAAGGGGAGTTAGTCGGTTCGTAAGAGCCAGCATGCGGGACCGGGATTCTGGGATTTGTCAAGCCACTCCTGGTCCTTTCATCAGACGGGAAGCAAAAGAATGAGCAAGACCCATTGCTGGTATGATAACAACCTGGTACTAAGCACACAGGCATCTTGTTAAAGTTATCTTATTTTAGCCAGCGCCATATAGATAGATTATATCTATATGGCGCTGATCTTAGCTATCTCTTATCTCTTAGTGGAGGAAAACAATTGTGACATCACTTACGCGACTCTGGGATTTGTAGTCTTTCTAGTTGCGTATTTTTCATAGTCTTATATTTCAACAGTTTTACGACAAACTGTGACTTTTTTTACATGGAAATTATTTTTTAAGATTGACAAACATCATATGTGTAATTCGTGGCACAATTCAAACGGGATCGAAAGATAATCTTTCTCTCCCCATTGACTTCAATACAAACTTTTTCCGAAATAAGGTCCCATGGGTCCCACTGGAAGGGGAGGGACTTCGCCTCTCTATAAAGGAGCTATAGCACGGTCACATGACTTCAAGTCACCACCGCTAAGCTAAAGGTGGCTAATGTTGGGCTATAAAGGAACTACAGCACAGTCACATGACTTCACGTCGCCACCGCTAAGCTAAAGGTGGCTAATGTTGGGCTATAAAGGAACTACAGCACGGTCACATGACTTCACGTCACCACCGCTAAACTAAAGGTGGCTAATGTTGGGCTATAAAGGAACTACAGCACGGTCACATGACTTCACGTCACCACCGCTAAGCTAAAGGTGGCTAATGTTGGGCTATAAAGGAACTACAGCACAGTCACATGACTTCACGTCACCACCGCTAAGCTAAAGGTGGCTAATGTTGGGCTATAAAGGAACTACAGCACAGTCACATGACTTCACGTCACCACCGCTAAGCTAAAGGTGGCTAATGTTGGGCTATAAAGGAACTACAGCACAGTCACATGACTTCACGTCACCACCGCTAAGCTAAAGGTGGCTAATGTTGGGCTATAAAGGAACTACAGCACGGTCACATGACTTCACGTCACCACCGCTAAACTAAAGGTGGCTAATGTTGGGCTATAAAGGAACTACAGCACGGTCACATGACTTCACGTCACCACCGCTAAGCTAAAGGAGGCTAATGTTGGGCGTGATGACGTTTAGTCGTCTCATTTAGACACTTTTTAAATCCACCAGTGGGGAATAAAACATTAAAATCTCTTCAGCTTGTGTTAACCACAGACCTTATTTCAGGACAACAAAAACACATTCAGAAACCATTGACCTCCAGACCAGGGGACAGGAAGTGATGAAATGCATTTCCAGGATTTAGGACTCATTCCTGCTCCACTCTTTTATGGTTTTGAGCAGAACTTTATTTGCTCTGGACTCGTGGATTGGTTTTGAACGCAGCCCTGCCACAGGACAAGCATTCAAGACGGACATGTTTTGCAAAGCTCTAATCTTACAAATGCAAATTCTTCTTCATGGCACTGTGTTTATCAATGTGCCGTCAGACCATGGATCTTTAGCCCTGCAGAGTGCAGACAGGCTGCTGTGTGCCAGGACTCTCTGAAGGGATAAGCCTCTGTGCACATTACAGATCTATTTACAGACGGGTGCCCCAGCGCAGAAATTCCTGACATCGCCACCTCTGCTTGACCTCAGCTTTTATGCAACAAGGATGAAGGAGAAGATTACACGAACAGAGATGATGTGAAGACAGACCAAAGACAAGAGGTCAAATGTAATGGTTAGTTGGACTTAATCCATATATTGATTCTGAATTTCTCGTGGCAAAGCACGCATGGTCATCTCTGCAAAGGGCAAACGGAAACAAAGAATTAAATCAGAGTCTGATCCACAGCCAAATCAGTTAAGAGGATTCAAGAGAGATATGAATTTAGTAAACATGAGGGCGGCTTAGGATTTACGTTCTCTGATGGCATCTCTCCGTGGCGGATGTCTTAAATTACTAACCTTGTGGTATTTTAATTTATAAAACCTTATATTTGTGAGCTTTTCTTCCAGACTGTGGTTTCTCTTCTGCACAAAATCCAGATACAATGCATTAGGGACACAGTATATCCTACATTTTACGTCAAAATTAGTTATGTTAGTATGTGAGTTTTAGCTTAGTCATGGCGCCAACATTCTAGCTTCTTGTTCATCTTAAACGTTCCAGTTCTACCTGCTTATTATTGTCCCTAGATGTTATATATATGCAGCAAAAGGGCTAGTTTGTTTTAAAGATGTAAGGCTTTTTAACGCTCAATAAAAGTACGGTTATACTGTAGTAAAATATGTTTAAATATTAGTGCAAAATGCTCTTTAACAAGTAAGTATTACTGTTCTTCTAAGTTGAATATTCTCCTGTTCCCTTACATGCATTCTCTTAAGTGGATATCAAATCATTCGGACAGAGAGCAAACGGCCTCAGTTGCTGCAGGCTTATGTATTTTGCAGAGATCCGGAACTAACCCAGAAACTCTGCAGCTCTCGGGGAATCAGGTCAATGTCAGCGTAATAATGAATCCTCCCTGCAGCCTGCGGAGCATTCAAACTCTACGATTGGCCAAAAAATCCACGAAGAGCCAGTTCAGGTCTATTTGATCTGTTTTATTGTGTTGCACTGTTGGAGTCAGTGACCTAAGATTTTTTTCATTTGTATTTCTACACTGTAGCTATGTACACATGACAATAAAAGCCTTGAATCCTTTATGACCTGACCTGAACCCCTCGATGCCTGATCGAAGGAGATTCATTAAAACACAACAGAAGTGTAACGAAACACTCATGAACGGATCATTTCGAGACAGTACAGATGTGCAGGGATGTGGGATTTTGGGATGTCGTGTAGAATCAGATTTGTGATCAGTTCATAACTTCTCATGTGGGCTGACACATGGGGTTTTAGTGTAAACGACTGTGATTGGCTGAGAGGGTGTTCACCTGGGCAACCTGGGGTACAGCCGGCCAATCAGGAAGAGGAGAGGCTGTACAGGAGACTAGATGTCAAACATGAAGGGATGTGGCGTGATTCTGAGGTACACTAGTGTGTGTGTGTGTGTGTGTGTGTGTGTGTGTGTGTGTGCGTGTGTGTGTGTGTGCGTGTGTGTGAGTCCAAAGGGTCCAGTTTTTGTTTGAATAAGCCAAAGGCAGAGACAGATTTAAGGAAAGATCAATACTTCAAGCCAATGCTGATTTACTTTAAATACATAAAACCAAATGTGTGGGTTTGTCAGACACTGTATTGTGCAGCTCGTCCATATATTGGCTTTCTGAATGGACCCACACTAATCTCCTGTTGCAGTGTTTGCTCGAGTCAACAGTGGACAGGAAGTGAAACCTGGACACCAGCTGTTTCCTAGCAACACAAGTAGTGTGAATATGTTTCAGTGGGAAGCGTCATTGACCCGTTGCATTAAATCCCATCCATGGTTTCATCATATCAAAGAATAGAATACTGACTGATTGAGATACTGAGAAATAGGTCACATTGAAGATCTTCTAGATTCATTCTGGGCCCTTTGGCAGCTTTCAAAACATGGTTAACTTCTCTATACATCTTAATATTCGTTGATTATATGATGCCATCAACTCAAAAGCCCCCCAAATGTAGCCGGATTCCCCCAAAAGAACCACTTCCCAACCCTAAAATATGACTCAATGACCGCCAACCACGACAAAACCCCCCTTTAAGAACATATTAACCCTTTAAAGCCCTCTTACTTCCTATTAACAATCCACTATTAGCTGGGCAACCCTTAAAGACCCCAATTAACCCCGTTGTTGAATAAAACACAATCTAAAATACCTCATGAGTCCCCAACAAACAGCTTAGACCCTCCTCACGATGTCATAAAAAACACCAAGAACCAGAACTACCAAGAACTCAAATTCCCTTTTCCACCAAAGTGGTTCCAGTTCCTGATTTGGAGCCAGTTTCTCGTGACAGATTGAGATGCTGAGAAATATGTCACATTGAAGATCTTCTAGATTTAGTTTGGGGTCGTTAGGGAGGGTGTGGCGCAGTGGACTAGTGCGTTGGTGTTGGGATCAGGGGAGCACAGGTTCAAACCTCACTGCAGTCAGCATGTCGTTGTGTCCCTGAAGACACTTCACCCCAAAGTGCTCCTGTGGGGATTGCCCACAGTATTGAGTATGTAAGTCGCTTTGGATAAAAGCGTCTAACAAGTGACATGTAATGTAATGTTTTCATTCTGTGGCCCTTTGGCGGATTTTAAAGAATGTTAGCTTCTCTATAAATCTAATTATTTGTAGTTGATATGATGCCATCAATCCCAGATCACCCTAATGTGGCCGGACTCACCTAAAGAACCACTTCCCAACCCTAACATATTCCCACTGACCCCAAACCTTGACAAAAAAAACCCTTTAAGAACATATTAACCCTTTAAAGTCCTCTTACTTACATTAAGAAAACCACTACTAGCATGGCAACCCTTAAAGACCTCAATTAACGCCTTTGTTGAATAAAACACACAATCTTAAATACTCTCATTAAACTATCTTGATAAGCCCCCAACAAACAGCTTCGACCCTCCTCACGATGTCATAAAATACACCAAGAACCAGAGCTCACCCCAGAGCTCACCCCCGATCTCACCGTGTTCAAATCACAAATCAAAACTCACCTCTTCAGAACTGCTTTTAATCTGTGTTTTATATATTTTTAGTGTTGTTTTAATTGTTTTTATGAATTGTTACTCTGTAACGTGTCTTTGAGTTTCTACAAAAGCTCTCTATAAATAAAATGCATTATTATTTGCATTATTAGAACTACCACAAGAACCCAAATACCCCTTTCAACCAAAGCGGTTGCAGGGCCCGATTGGGAACCAGTTGCCCGTGTTTCCACAGCAGGTTGGAAACACCTCAAAAGACCCCAGACCCTCCTGAATGACTGCTAAGGAATTGAATCCCTTCTAACAGCCAAATAAAACCGGCTCACTTTGAAGCCTTCAGCGTCTTCAGAGCCAAGTTGGCAGCGATCAGCTCACAGACTGAGGAGCACTGTGTGTTCCTGATGAAGCTGATCTGAGGAGGAAGATGTCTGAGAGGAAGGTCTCCTCAGTGGGTGAAAGGTTATATCCTCAAACAAAACCTAACAGAGAACACATCAGGGTTTTAAGTTCATCACAGAGACAGCTGGGTCATGGTTAAAGTGCAGGGGGACACTGATAAAGCTGATGAGAAGCACAGGAAGTCCCTGAACTCACCACCAGGAGGATCAGTGCTGCCCTCTGCTGGACACAGACTCCAGGTCTATGAATCTTTAAAACACCAGAAAAACATTCATTTCTAACTTGTTTTCTAAAATGTCAGTTATCGCTGCATGTCCAGTTTCATGAACACTTCAAGAGTGCTGCTAAAAACACAATTCTTATTAAACGAATATGGACATTTGTTGCATTTACACACTTAATGTATATAATATCCTGCTTTGTATATGTTTGCTTGTCATGTATATTTTCTACTTTTTTAATGCTATTTTATTTCTTTTTGAGACGTTTACATTTTGAATGGTTTATTTCTAGTCTTTTAATTTCTCTTATGTACAATGCCTTGTCTTTTGATGCGGCTGCAAAGCAAACATTTCCCAAATTGGGATCAATAAAGTACTTCTTATCTTATTATCTTTATCTTAGTTCACAAGAAACCAAAATGCATCACTGCTGTATACTAAGAGTACTTCATAAAATCTGGGCATCATCAAATGACTACTTAAAAACAACACTGCCAATTAAACTAAGAGACACAGAAACGCGTTTAAAAAAATTAATCTGAAGGTTATTTTTAGTTTTTGAGCAATTTCCCAACCATCCACTTGTTCCTAGTAACTTGATTGCAATTAGATAGCACTTTTATAGTATTTGTGACAACTCAAAGCAAAAACACACAACCAATTCACTGAGGGATAGTACACACTAGCAGCAAACCCAAAAATCAACTGTTTTCAAAGTGTATTTTGTTGAGTCACTCCGGTGTGAACACAGTGTTTGCTTTGTTCATTATCCCAGTTTGAACTCTCACCCTGCCTTTCCCTCATGCTGCTGAAACACCTGAATCCCTTTGGTGATCAATAAAGCTTCATCTTATCTTTGTGTTAATAAATGCTAAGGAATGAGGCATTTGTTTTTCCCTCTATCCAATAAAACTTGCAAACTTTTAACTAGTGGAAGGCCATTTTAAGCTAATTAGTTTCCCCAGTTTGTTGTGGAAGAACTTAACGTGTCTGTATCTGACCTCAACACTATCCAACATCTCCGGGATGAACGGGAACGTCAAGCTTCTCTCCAAACGTCCGTGTTGGAAACTCCCTTTTCTCTCCTGCCTGAATAGAAGCTAATCTCTGCAGCCAGGTAACAACGTCTGCACCTGAACCACCTGAACCACCTGAAACACCTGAAACCAGAGCAGTGGAGGCCGTTACAGAAACACAGTGATGTGGCAAACAATTCCACACGCGCTGCTATATAACATGTGCAATATCCTTATTATTATTAATAATGTTCTATGATAACGTGCACTTACGTATCTGTTAATATTTACTTAATGATGTGACCGCCTGTTTCCTGTAGTTATTGAATTGCTCTTTTTACTGCACTGTTGGTGTACAGTTTTATTATTATGCTGCTGTGTTTATTGTATTTGTTTAACTCTGGCACAACAATTTCCTTCAGGATAAATAAAGTCGTATCTCATTCAACAACATGAGGGCAGCAATTTGAAGACAAAGTCATCTGTGTTTTTTTCCCCATCACAATTTTTATTATGTGACTTTTTAACAATAAAAACAGGACATTAAAAATGCAGATGCGTTACACAGACAGTGCTGAATGTGATGTGAAGAAGCTGCAGTTACTGAGGCTCCTCCAGCAACACCTCCACACCCTGGAAATACTCCGTTTGAATAGAATCTGCACGAGAAGTGGAAAATAAATTCACGTAAAAACACTTCGGAGCAGTTTCTTGAACATCGTTACACTCGGCGTGAGTCGGGAATAAATGTTTGGCGTCCAACAGAAAGGCTAGAAACTAAAGCAACAAAAAGCAGGGCCGATACAAAATGAAAACGACAACAAAAGTAAGAAAATGTTACACATGGTCGAAGATAAACACTGCAGTTTGTGGTTAAACAATTTACATTTCAGGAGCTGGAAGAGGACTGGGAGGAAATTAAATGTGATACCTAAATAATAAGTCAACCGAAAGATACATTTATATATATTTATATAAAAAATAACAGTGCCTGAGGTGAGCTGCAGCCGCGACAGGCCGAGCTATTCGTTTGGTTTTTGGCATTAAAAAAAGGACGCAGCGTCCGACATTCCCAAAGGAGGAAAGAAAGACTTCCTGTTTGTCACGAAGGTGTTTTCTACGAGTATACGTGTCGTGTGAGCGCACACTGAAGGGATACAAGGATCGTATTAAGGGGGAACTCGAGGGAGAGCATGATTGGTTAGATTCAGAGTCAGACGACAGCGCCCCCTGCTGGCTCCTCTTGATTATCACACAGTATGTTGTGATGGACAGACGCTCTCAGATCAGGGCGGGCAGGAAATAATGAAACATCAGGAAGGTCCTCCGGAGGGTTAGAATATCTTCTTCTTTTTGTTCTTTTCCAAGGTCCTGCAGACACAAGAGGACAGAGGTCAAATACTTTGTATTACCTGTGATCTGGCCCTTCGTAGTGTTTGGTTATCAGATAGTCTACAGACTTTTATCTTCAACTGTCAACATGTATATATTTTACTTTTTAGTTCCGTTTTATCTTCTATTTTGAGAGGTAGGTAGGTTTAAACCCTACTAAGGCTGCACGATATTGGAAAAAACTGACATTGTGATATTTTCTTCCCCTGCGATATATATTGCGATATGAAAAAATACAGGAATTGAAGAAAAGACAGTTTTTGTTGTCCCAAACCATCCTTTCTTGAACTCTAATGCTATACAATTGGTATTTTTCTAACTATATTTAACCGGATGAAGGATTTTAGTCACGGACGTCTCAAGGTTCAAGGTTCTTTATTGTCAAACTAACATAGCTACAGAGTAATTATGTCGTTGAAAATCTTAGGTCACAGGCTTCTCCAACAACGCAACATAATAATACAGATAGTAAAAGTAATACAAAAAGAAAAATAGTTCTAAAATAAAGTGAGAGAGAAAAAAAGTGGAATAGTCTGGATCTTAAGTTATCAGAGCAACAAGCTGAGCTAGCTCGGTTATCCTGCTGTGATCTGATCAAGAATGATTGTGATTGGTGGTTTGCTGTGCATGCAGAGCCTGGGTTAAAACATCTGTTAATATATTATATATTTTTATATATACTCAATACTGTGGACAATCACCACAGGAGCAATTTGGGGTGAAGTGTCTCAGGGACACAACGACATGCTGACTGCAGTGGGGTTTGAACCTGTGACCCCCTGATCCCAACACCAACGCTCTATCCACTGCGCCACACGCCTCCCGTTAAACACCTGAACTGTTGAAACAACATCCATAACATTCATCTGGCTGCTACTTAGTAATTATTTCTCTATTTCTCTAATATATCATTCCAATAGCTTGCATATAGACTCTTATTTCACTATTTCAAACTATTTTTCTTTTTGTATTTACTATTTACTTGCACTATATTTGTCTGTTTATCTGTTGTATTGTGTTGCACTGTTGGAGAAGCCTGTGACCTAAGATTTTCATCGGCATAACTACTCTGTAGCTATGTTCGTATGACAAATACAAAACCTTGAACCTTTTCACATGATGTACAATACCTTGTTTACATGCTGCTGGGATGAAAGAAAAATCCCAAATTGACATCAATAAAGTAAATCTTATCGTAAATTAAAAAGTGTTCTACCTTCATCCATAAACACAGTGTTAGTAAGGGGAGTGAAGCTTTCTGAATTCAATGAGGCATGTTTTATTTAATTCATAGATTTCTGTTCAGTATATAAAAGGTGCTATTTCAAATTAGAAATCTTGCCCTGGTGCTTTTACTAAAAACCCAATATAATACACATTTTAAGGGCGACTGTGGCTGCGAGGGAGTGTGGTCGTCTTTCACCCAGAAGGTTGTGGGTTCGATCCCAGCCCATGCAGTCAACATGTCGATGTATCCTTGGGCAAGATACTTAACCCTGAGTTGCTCCCGATGGCCAACGGTGTGTGAATGTTAGTTCCTAGAGTAAGGTACACTGCTCTGTGTGAATGTTAGTTCCTAGAGTAAGGTACACTGCTCTGTGTGAATGTTAGTTCCTAGAGTAAGGTACACTGCTATGTATGAATGTTAGTTCCTAGAGTAAGGTACACTGCTCTGTATGAATGTTAGTTCCTAGAGTAAGGTACACTGCTCTGTGTGAATGTTAGTTCCTAGAGTAAGGTACACTGCTCTGTGTGAATGTTAGTTCCTAGAGTAAGGTACACTGCTCTGTGTGAATGTTAGTTCCTAGAGTAAGGTACAATGCTCTGTGTGAATGTTAGTTCCTAGAGTAAGGTACACTGCTCTGTGTGAATGTTAGTTCCTAGAGTAAGGTACACTGCTCTGTGTGAATGTTAGTTCCTAGAGTAAGGTACAATGCTCTGTGTGAATGTTAGTTCCTAGAGTAAGGTACACTGCTCTGTATGAATGTTAGTTCCTAGAGTAAGGTACACTGCTCTGTATGAATGTTAGTTCCTAGAGTAAGGTACACTGCTCTGTGTGAATGTTAGTTCCTAGAGTAAGGTACAATGCTCTGTGTGAATGTTAGTTCCTAGAGTAAGGTACACTGCTCTGTGTGAATGTTAGTTCCTAGAGTAAGGTACACTGCTCTGTATGAATGGGTGTGAATGGGTGAATGACATGTAGTATGTAAAGCGCTTTGAGGGGTCTTAAAGACTGGATAAAGTGCTATATAAGTACAGTCCATTTACCATTTAAATAAAAAACCACAACAAGATGAGCTGAACGTACACATTATGATGATATTAAATTATAATCTGGAGGAGATCATTGAAGGATACACTCCACAGTCCGCTGTGTGCTAATCAATGTGCGGTAAATCATGACGTTTTACTTATTTCGTTTTCTTTATATTAACCGATTGCAATAATGTTAACTCACAAAGACAAAAGGTAACATTTGTTACTGCTAAACTCATTTTTCTAATTCAGTAATAAAGTGAGAATTCAATATATAAGAAGTTTAAGCTTAAAGATAAGAAACGCTGCCGGTTAAATAAGTATTTTTAGAAGGTGGTTCATTCAAAAATAGCTCTGAGACAACAGATTTACTCCAGTGGGTTTTTCCCTTTAACACAATATGCAATTTAATTGTCTCGATGTTGTAGTTTTACTGATGACTACGGATGTTTTCAGGGTAAATAAGCTAATATTTAGCTCTGTTATGGTTCACCTGTAAAGCTGCAGGAAAAGCGCTATATAAATAAGATGTGTTATTACCTGGAGGCGTCTAGTTTCTGCTGCTCCAGGATCCTCTGCTGAGCCTCCCAGGTGTTCTTCTCCTCTTCGAGCTGCCGGCGTTTCTCCTCCAGCTCGCGGTGCTGCAACTCCAGGTTCTTTTTCATCTGCTCGTGACGCCTCTGGAGCTAAAGACACACAAACAAACAAACAAACAAACAGACAAACAAACAGACAGGCAGGAGGTTAACAAACAGGCATCAATAAATGAACGTATAAAACTCTCATTAGTGCGTTCACCGTCATTTGTTTAAAGGTCCCCTATTATCCTGTTTTTCATCAATATACTAGAGGTCTCAGATATATACAGAGCCTGTCTCTGATTGGCTGAAACACCAAACAGATCATTGCAGCATTACCCATAATCCCCTCTGTTTCAGCCCTGTTTCCAAAGTGCTGATTCTCTGTCTGTTACTTTAGATGAAAATAAGGAGCCCCTCCCCACGCCCCTCTGAGAGAGATTTGGTTACAAAGAACTCAATGGTGCTCTAGGAGGAGATTCAGGTGATAAGGTGGGTGGGTTACCTTGGTTGCTGATTGGCTAATGGTTACTCAAGACAAAACATCGTTATGACATCATAAAGTGGCCAAAATCTGATCAGCTCATTTTCAGACAGGTTTTTATAGAAATGGATCAAAAAGAGAGAGAATCTTTGTTCCTGAAACTTTCAGAGTCTCTTTACACAGAGGGGACACATGTTGATGTAGAAGAGACATGAAGAAGAGGGGACACATGTTGATGTAGAAGAGACATGAAGAAGAGGGGACACATGTTGATGTAGAAGAGACATGAAGAAGAGGGGACACATGTTGATGTAGAAGAGACATGAAGAAGAGGGGACACATGTTGATGTAGAAGAGACATGAAGAAGAGGGGACACATGTTGATGTAGAAGAGACATGAAGAAGAGGGGACACATGTTGATGTAGAAGAGACATGAGGAAGAGGGGACACATGTTGATGTAGAAGAGACATGAAGAAGAGGGGACACATGGTGATGTAGAAGAGACATGGAGAAGAGGGGACACATGTTGATGTAGAAGAGACATGAAGAAGAGGGGACACATGTTGATGTAGAAGAGACATGAAGAAGAGGGGACACATGTTGATGTAGAAGAGACATGAAGAAGAGGGGACACATGTTGATGTAGAAGAGACATGAAGAAGAGGGGACACATGTTGATGTAGAAGAGACATGAAGAAGAGGGGACACATGTTGATGTAGAAGAGACATGAAGAAGAGGGGACACATGTTGATGTAGAAGAGACATGAAGAAGAGGGGACACATGTTGATGTAGAAGAGACATGAAGAAGAGGGGACACATGTTGATGTAGAAGAGACATGAAGAAGAGGGGACACATGTTGATGTAGAAGAGACATGAAGAAGAGGGGACACATGTTGATGTAGAAGAGACATGAAGAAGAGGGGACACATGTTGATGTAGAAGAGACATGAAGAAGAGGGGACAAATGTTGATGTAGAAGAGACATGAAGAAGAGGGGACACATGTTGATGTAGAAGAGACATGAAGAAGAGGGGACACATGGTGATGTAGAAGAGACATGAAGAAGAGGGGACACATGTTGATGTAGAAGAGACATGAAGAAGAGGGGACACATGTTGATGTAGAAAAGACATGAAGAAGAGGGGACACATGTTGATGTAGAAGAGACATGAAGAGGAGGGGACACATGTTGATGTAGAAGAGACATGAAGAAGAGGGGACACATGTTGATGTAGAAGAGACATGAAGAAGAGGGGACACATGTTGATGTAGAAGAGACATGGAGAAGTGGATTTTGCAGAATAAGTGACCTTTAAGTCTTTATTACCAACGACTACGCTTCATCTTATAACACATAAAGCCTTTTGAATGTTTTGTTTACCTCGGCCTCGGAGTCTCGGAGCTTCATCAGCTTCTCCTTCACCTTCATCTCAAACACCTGCTCCATCTCCTGCTCCATCTTCTTCATCTTGGACACGTGGTCCCGCCGCTCCTCCTCCATCTGGGCCAGAGGACTCCTGCAGACACAAAGCAGGGTTTAAAAACTCCCACTCAGCAGAATCGTGCCCTGCCTACAGACTTAAAGGAGCCTTTCTGACTGCAGAGTGATGAAGAGGAGGAAGAGGAGGAAGTGCTTTCCTTCCCAGCGAGGAGGGAGGGAGGTGACAGGGTTCAACAGGAGAACAGGTGTTATTGGGAATCAAACCTAAAACTGCCCCAAACCCACTTCTCCTGCTGAAAGCCCTCTCTCCTGCAGACAGGCTGGAGCTCCTGGAGTGTACAACGTGTCTGATTTGTTAATATGAAGGAGGAGGAAAGCAAAAGCATTTTCTTTACAGTGTTAGTTAGAAGAAAGTAGCAGCTAAGATCTGGCTGTGTAGAGATACAAAACAAAGAAATTAGCCAAAGCATGTATTATTAGCTTTAAGCTAGCTGTTAGCATGGCTCGACGCAACGTGACGAAGAATCCCATCAGCCTTAGTTTGTGTTTTGATCTAATATAATATATACAGCTCTGGAAAAATGTATGAGACCTCTGAACATTATGAGTTTCCCTGCTTTACTATTTATAGGTATGTATTTGAGTAAAATGTATTTATTTTATTCTATAAACTAATAACATTAACGAGTGGTCTCTTAGTTTTTTCTGGAGCTGTAGATACAGTATTTACATAAATTGTGTTTGTTGTCCAATCTTTGCTGTTTTCTTTGTTTTTTCACGAGTATTGTCCTCTCATTCTTGTGTTGGGTACGTTTAGTTTTTGCCTGTCCTAAAAATATGATAAATATGATAAATCCAACTTGCTTCCTTGCACTAAGTTAACGAGTTGAATGTTATTCAGATGAATCGACTCCGTTAGTGGATCAGTTTGTTGACTTCTCTGTATTTTCTTCAGCCAAACTGGAAACACCGCAGCTGCCAGAAATGTATATATAATTATTATTATTTATTTATATTTAAATTATATTCCTTAAAGTGGACCTATCATGCTATATTTGAATAATATAGTGTAGGACCATACCTATATAAGGCATATTTATACTTTTTTTTTTCAAAATACCAAACAGATCATGCATTTTAGCCATGCCTCATTTCGCCCAATTTGCACTTGTTTTTGCAAGGGCTGATTCAGTGAGAACAGCACCACCTACAGGCCTGGCATATGTACTACAGCGTCTCCAGCGCTTTCGAACGGCTGTCTCCTCCTGATTGGTGGAGTTGGCCCAATAGCCGTAGCGCCACCGTCCTGACGTCAGGACAGTGTTCAAATCTGGATCAGTTTTTATCAGATCCGTTGCAGCCCCTTTTTTAGAGATTTGGGTATGGAGGAAAATAGAGAGGGTTGTGTTTTCTGACACTTGGTGAGTTCCCTGGAACACCGGGGACACATATTCATGTAGAAAAGACGTACAAAAGTGCATTTTGCATGATAGGTCCCCTTTAAGTTAATATAAATATCTTTATTTAGCTAATTCTTAACTTATTTTCTATGTTTCCATAACCATTTGTATCCTGTTATTTTATTTATTTCATTCCATAATGGAGCACCTTTCACAAAACCCAATTTCCCCGGGATGAATAAAGTGTTCCTCCCAGAATAATACAAATCAGAGGATCAATTAGTCCGTGTTTGTTTAGTGTTCATTGATTAGTTAGTAGTTAAAGCTTCAGAGGTTAATCAATGAAACTGCAGCAAAGCGAGAAGCTGATTTCAGATCATCACATTAATCAGATCACAGATGTTTGGAAGGTATCCCCGTCTCTCTTGTGGAATGATGTAATAGCCAAGCAGGACCAATGCATTTAAATCAGATACATGTCGGCATTTCAAAGCGATGCAGGAGGAAAGCATGAATGAATGAACGAGGGGATGAAGCTGAGGAGTTTGAAGAAGTCACTTACATGTTGTCAGATGTCTCAGGCCTAGAAACAAACACACAGACTCTTAACATGCTGCCGTGAACGTGCTTCAGCAGGCGGTGGATTAGAGCTCCGTTAGTACAGATTAAACACACTGCTGCTCAGTTAGTGTGCGTGTGTGTGTGTGTGCGTGTGTGTGTGATTCAGTGACAGCTTGCACACTTTAATCTGTCTGAGTGTCTGCAGACTGCGACCTCTGAACTACAGATTCTGTTCACACTCAGCAGCGACATTATCCCACTAGTTGATATTATTAAGGCCTTTTAAAAATCCAATGATCAGAGCACAGACACAAGAACCATACACATCAACAGATAAATAATAATAACAGGGGGTTTTCTAGAAAGATATAGTACGAGGACTGTGGCTCTGATCTTGTATAAGACATATCAAAGGTCACAGTAAACGGAGGAAGAAGAAGTACTCAGATCTTGTACTTAACCAAAAGTATATAAGTACTGCGTTACAAGAGAAACAACATTAAAGTAGGCGCTGATCTTGTTTATAAGATATATACATTCTGTGGAGAAGATGACGCCTGTATACAAGATGTCTCCTGACGTAAACAACAACGTGGCGTAAACAACAACGTGACGTCGGAGCTCCATAAAAACAAAGCTGTCGCTGCCGTCTGACGCTCTGTTTGATTCTCTGATTTCTGGAGGAATTATACAGTTTTTGAGGAACAGAAATATTGTTTTCTGGAATCACTTTAACATTTTACGGGGGAAATCTGCATTTTTGTTTCAGGGCGCAGCGCCCCTGTAATCCGGTGCAGACTAACCCCTAAATAATCAGAGCGAACTCCAGTGGAAACAGACTAAACGTCCCCAAATGTCCCCTTTGTTAATGGTCAAGGACTAGCATATCTACATGATGCTAGATAACACAATGGGTTCATGTGGTTCATCTCTGCTTGCATCTTTAATTGTTGTTATTATTATCATGATATCATTATTATAGTTAATTATTGTGAGCAGATGAACGTACTTGGTGAGCTGTCCCTTGTTCTTGTTGTTGTCCATGCCGTTGTACGTGACTGCAGCGAGTTTCCTGCTGCGGTAATTCTCGTAGTGAACGTTGTTCGTCACGTCCTTCAGGTCCTGCATATTAGTGCTGGGGGGAAAAGAAACATTTACATTTTAATGACATTTCCTTTCATCTTTGTATACAATACTTGAAGTCACTGTTAACAAACTAGTGTTGTACTTTAAACACATTTCTCACCGGATGAGCATATTTCGGAGGATGGTGAAGTCACAGTGCTCTCCGTTCTCCACTGTGAGGGACAGACAGAGCAGATACAACATACATTTTAAACAACTTGGTTTGTATGTCTGGTTATTATCAGTTAAAAAACGCAATTAATATCAGGGCAGCGAGAGTCTCAGAGAGAAAACACATGAACCTTGGAAGAAAACCAAAGTAAATATATGCAGAGAACATCTCTTCAGACACAAGTAGTAGTTTTTTATTTATAAACTTGGAATTATTCCCTTTAACTGGAATTTATTTGGCTAACTAAATCTAAACTTTATTGCATATGCTTTCAGTCCCAGAACATATTTACAATTGATGTGTTATTTTATTACACCAATAAGACATATTTGTATTTATTCAATGCTTTTCTACGCTAATGAATGTAATTGTTATTAAACAGTATAATTTAAGGATGTGTTCAGTTATATATATTTTTTTTCTTTCTTTCTTTTTTTAATTATTATTATTTGTTTAATCTCTCAAATTGTATCCGTGTCCTTTGTTGTGAAGCGCTTCGAGATTTGTCTTGGCAGATGAGAAGCGCGATACAAATTAAATGTATTATTATTATATATTTTGTATCAATAATATAATTTTACTGCCCATTATCTTTTATTTATATATTTTTTCTTATTCTACAGTACACTGATAACTTGATATATTCTTTGAAACACAATCATTTCAGTATGTTTCTTTTACTGTCTTTGTGAAGCACTTTGTAAGGTACATATTTCAAATAATCTCCAATATATTACAATAATAATAACCCAGAGAGCTGCAGTGAGAGGGAGCACCAGCAGGGGGCATCCCTTTAGCACCAGTTAGCATTCCCTCTGCATTAAACCTCCCACAGTCCTCTCTGTGGTTGGGAGGTTGCATATCTCCTCCATCTCTCTCTCCCTCCCTCTCTCTCTTCCATCTCTCCCTCCTCCGCCTCTCCTCCCTCTCTCTCCATATTTGTGTTGACTCAGAGCCAGAGACATTTTTGGTATTCCAGAAATCCCAACAGACAAACAGTTCATAGTAAAACTCCCACAGTCCTCCAGCAGGCTGCATATATTTTCAAACCACCTTTACTACACTAACAGAGAGAACTCTTTAAAGTAGAGACACTACATACTGATATACACCTGAACATCAGCAGGAGAGGACTCTTTAAAGTAGAGACACTACATACTGATATACTGTACACCTGAACATCAGCAGGAGAGGACTCTTTAAAGTAGAGACACTACATACTGATATACACCTGAACATCAGCAGGAGAGAACTCTTTAAAGTAGAGACACTACATACTGATATACACCTGTACATCAGCAGGAGAGGACTCTTTAAAGTAAAGACACTACATACTGACCTGAACATCAGCAGGAGAGGACTCTTTAAAGTAGAGACACTACATACTGATATACACCTGAACATCAGCAGGAGAGGACTCTTTAAAGTAGAGACACTACATACTGATATACACCTGAACATCAGCAGGAGAGGACTCTTTAAAGTAGAGACACTACATACTGATATACACCTGAACATCAGCAGGAGAGGACTCTTTAAAGTAGAGACACTACATACTGATATACACCTGAACATCAGCAGGAGAGGACTCTTTAAAGTAGAGACACTACATACGGTTCAGTGAACATCTCTCAGTGTGCTACGTGTCACTTTATCTGAACACTGTATCTTTAAAGCTTTGAATGTCTCACCAAACTGTGACAGAGACTTCCTGTGTGAGGTCAAACTCAGCTCTCATTTCCTGCGCTGCACAGACTAACTTCTACTTTCCCACTAATAGCTTCACTATAAACACTCTGGTGATGCTTCTTTTAAAGCATCAGTATTGCTTGCTTGTGGTTTCTTCATAAAAGGCTTGAAATGTTGCTAATCTTTGGTCCTGATGGGACGTTTCACTGTTAGTAGATCAAAGAAAAACAACCTGACAAAGCCAGTTTGCAGAAAACATGACTAAAATAACATTAAAAGGGATAGTTTGAATGTTTTGAATGTAGGTTTGATAAGGTATTAAGCCATAGTCAGTGTATAACTAGCTATTTTACACACACCTGTAGGCTGTTGTCACCGCTGTCAGACAGCCACTATATTTGCTACCTTCAAATCCACCAAACTCCATTGACTAAAGCAGTCATCATTAAATGCAGAAAACTAGACGTTCTGGTCTCCCGCTGCCTCAATCAGCTAGTCTGTACCATTAAAAACACCCAAATTACTAAATAATACAAACTAAATGAATTACGGCGGAAACTACCGTCTTCTGAGAGTTAAAATGACTGTTTTTGTCAATGGAGTTTGGTGGATTCAAAGAGAGCTCAGATAGTGGTTGTGTCTGTTACTCTGAGCAAAAACATGCGACTGATCCCTTTAACTGGTGTTGTGTCATCAGACAGTTTAACAGTGATTAAGGAGTTAAATTAAGGACACAGACATGTTTTAAAGCCCCCTGTGGAGTAATCTCATTATCTACTTATTAAGTTCTTAAGTTTCTCACTGAAAAATACTGTGTGTGTAATGTGAGGCCTACCATCAAATGCTTTATAACTTATGTTGGAAAAATACTGAATGTCCTCTTCCAATATCAGAGTACACATGATAACAAAGGTATCCCAACTGTAGCTGTGAACATGACAGGATGTATGATTACCTAGAAGAGCATCAGGACTGTTTGAGGCATATGATAGCTATGTGATTAACATGATGATTCAGCCTCTATGGAGAGAGACATATGACAAGCATGATCATTTCTGACGTGGAGCTAATCTGAAGTAAACATTGAATACTGCTTTCTATTCCTCCATCTTGTGACTGTGTAACTCCCTCTCTTGTATATCAGCATGTGAAGGACACTGTTCAGGAACTAGTTGATGCTCTGTATGTGATGACTACTTCCATTCTGGAGAGGATCACAAATACATGGATCCTGAGTTGAACCAGTGATATAAACTTACATTTTGTGTTGGACGTTTATATGTATGTATCTTTAGTTTCTTATGTTTATATACACTTTTACCCTAAATGGATCAATTGTCACAAACTCGATTTCCCTCTCGGAATAAATAAAGTTGTGTGATTCTGATTTAAACGGCACATGGATTGTGTTACTGCTCTGCAAACCATCTACACATGATGTCTGATCAATAATCCAATACACAGTGGAAATATTGGTGTGTGTGTTTCTCTGTGTGTGTGTCTATGTGTGTGTGTGTTTCCGTGTCTGTGTGTTTCTCTATGTGTGTGTGTGTTTCCATGTGTGTGTGTTTCCGTGTCTGTGTGTGTCTATGTGTGTTTCTCTATGTGTGTGTGTGTTTCCGTGTGTGTGTATGTCTATGTGTGTGTGTGTGTGTTTCCGTGTCTGTGTGTGTCTATGTGTGTGTGTGAGTGTGTGTTTCCGTGTGTGTGTTTCCGTGTGTGTGTGTGTGTTTCCATGTGTGTGTGTGTGTGTCTATGTGTGTGTGTGTTTCCATGTGTGTGTGTCTGTGTGTGTGTTTCCGTGTCTGTGTGTGTCTATGTGTGTTTCCGTGTCTATGTGTGTGTTTCTGTGTCTGTGTGTGTCTATGTGTGTTTCCGTGTCTATGTGTGTGTTTCTGTGTCTGTGTGTGTCTATGTGTGTTTCCGTGTCTATGTGTGTTTCCGTGTCTATGTGTGTGTTTCTGTGTGTGTGTCTATGTGTGTTTCCGTGTGTGTGTTTCCGTGTGTGTGTGTGTGTTTCCGTGTCTATGTGTGTGTCCATGTGTGTTTCTGTGTGTGTGTGTGTTTCCGTGTGTGTGTGTTTCTGTGTGTGTGTGTGTGTGTGTGTGTCTTCTCACCTTCAGCCACCCCCCAGGGATACTGCCTGCCACGCACTCTTTTCCCGTTGACCTCGATGATGGTGTTACTGCCAACGACCGCCAGAGGTAAACGATCCTGCAGAGAGGAAGAGGAGGAGGAGGATGAAGAGGCTTCAGAATCCTGTATCACAAAATCTAAAATCTAATTATAAATGCAACTGCGATAAATAAAGTCTACAGAATTTTATTTTTACCCACAAGGTTAAGGTATATCTGCAGGATGTCCCTTTCTGTGGCTCGTTTTGTGATGTTGTTTTTTATGGATGCATGCAAGTGAAATTCCTCGTACGTTTAAACCTACCTGGTAATAAACCTGTTTCTGATTCTGATGTCGTTTATTGTATTTTTCTTACATTTTTCATTTCATTAGCCTTCCATGTTTCTAAGGCAATCACAAAATGGGATCGCTTCTTTTCAAAAACTAAAATATTTGAGGATTACACGACTGACTGCATAGCTCACGCACAACAGAGTGTGTGGGTACGATATCATCGCTGCAGTAAAATCTGTTTTATTGAACGTTTCTTTAGAAAAACACACCTTGATCCTCCTGACCATCTTCATCTCCTCCTCATCGTCCGTCTCCGGGAACTCGTAGATTTTGATTTTGTGCTCCTGGATTTCTTTCATGATCTGCAGAGAGGAACCGGGGTGAGATGGAAAATCAGATGAGAGGCGATGAAGAGGAACGTCGATGGTTCCAGCGGAGAGTCATCAATACACGGGCTGTTTATAGACTGGCTTCTGCTCAAGGTGAACCGTCATGTGTTCCCTTTCAATCATTAGTCTCCATACTGGGTATATGTACAATGTGCACACGCTACTTTCTACATATGTCTGTCTATATACATCAAAGCTTACAGAAATAAATTGAAGTACCGAAAATATGCAGGCTTTAGAATCCTGTATCACAAAATGTCAAATGTAATTATAAAAGCAACTGCCATAAATAAAGTCTACAGATTTTATTTTTACCCACAGAAGTGAAAGTATATAATTCTGCAGGCTGTCTTGTACGCTTCCCTTTCTGTGGCTCGTCACCAATGTCGTTGTTTTGTATATTTCACTAGCCTGCCGTGTTTCTAAGGCAATCACAAAATGGGATATTTTCTTTTCAAATACTAAAATATTTGGGGATTACATGACTGATTTTGACAGTGAGAGGTTACAAATCAAGAGTCTTACAAGGAGTATATTTGAGTTCATGCATATTCGTAACCTTTAAAACATGACGTACATTTTTAAAACCTTTAACTAGTACTAAATAAGTCAGATTCGTGAAACACATAATGCTGGAAAAAGTGCATTTGATTATTTATGCCACTTAACAGACTAAGAGATTAAAAGAAAAACCTCTGAACCACACACACACACACACACACACACACACACACACACACACACACACACACACACACACACACACACACACACACACACACACACACACACACACACACACACACACCACACACACCACACACACACACACACACACACACACACACACACACACACACACACACACACACACACACACACACACACACACACACACACACACACACACACACACACACACACACACACACACACACACACACACACACACACACACACACACACACACACACCACACACACACACACACACACACACACACACACACACACACACACACACACACACACACACACACACACACACACACACACACACACACACACCTGGTGTTTGAACTGTTGGCACTCCTCAGGAGTCATTGTGTCGGCTTTGGCGATGAGGGGGATGATGTTCACTTTTTCATGTAACCGCTTCATGAATTCAATATCGAGGGGCTTCAGTCTGAGGAGAAGGAGAGACGTTTACAGGTTAATAGAGTCTCGGCTGCAGGACGACAGATTTTAAAACAAGTCTGACCTCACACTGCACATCTGGAGAGACCTAACAGCGTCGTAAATCAATCGGAGTGGACTCTGGATATATGACGGTGTAATAAGGTAATTTTAGGTTAAATGAATGAGGTTACAGAGCTGAGAGGAAGCGGCTTAATAATCCTCTCTGAGATGAAAGAAACTCCAGTATTCTCTGCTATTAAAGTTGTGCATTTCATTAAATCAGAAACTAATTCATGGGAGAAAGCTTTGATTATTCTCTGAGGTTATTAAGTCATAAATGAGCCACGAGAACAACGAGGACAAAGATGGGTTCATTGCAGTCTAATGTGTTGAGTTTCCTGAAAGCTGCAAGTTGTTTTTCGTCTGAATGATGTCTCTTCAAAGTCCGGATGAGTCTTATAAAATAAAGATTCTGAGTGTTTACTTATTGCTAAATCTGATTGCAAAGCATAATTTGATTAGATGATCCACTGCAGGAACATTACACGACAATCTGCAACGTCTGATGTGAAGGGTTTGATCTGAATTTGCAAAGAGAAGCCATCTATCAATTTGAGAAAATAGTCTGAACAAATACATTGGTTTATACTATTAAAGGTGGGGTAGGTAAGTTTGAGAAACCGGCTCGAGATACACTTGTTATATTCCATGGAATGCTCTTAACATCCCGATAGCAATGAATATCTGAAGTGCTTTGACAAAAAATCCATAAAGAAATATCATCTGTGGAAGCTGTAGTACTGTAAAAAGCACGACCAATCATCTGAGCCGGCCCGGCTAAAATAACTGGATGGCCTACCTGCCTGTCAGCCTTCCATCTGTGCACAAACTTATCTCGTGCCCTCATTGGTCATGTGCGCGTTCGTGTGTGTTGGAGGAGGGGCTCTGTAAGGAAGTGGCAGATTTTCTCCGGTTGTGTATTTTCAAATTCTAGCGATCTTGAGCTGGTTTCTCAAACTTACCTACCCCACCTTTAAAGTGGTCAGTTTGTATTACTTATTTAATATTTTTACTTTACTGTACTTCTTTGCTTTAAAGCTGCCATGTCAGTTTATGTCATGGTTGTTAACTTTCTAATTTAGCAGGGATGCAACGTACATTTTTTCGTCTTTGTTTTTGTGTGTTGTCTTTTTCCTGTGTGTGCTTATAAATGTGGAAAAGATTAATAAAGACAACGGGAAAAAAGTATGAGAAATTCCCGATACGACTCTTCAGAATCTCCCCCCATCATTATGATTACTTTTATTTGCATATTGACTGGTTACCGTGCCATTTCATTAGTGTTTTACAGCTGTATTCGTCTGCCTGTATTGTTTTGTGTTCATCTGTTGTAACTTTGTTCATGCTGCGCCAGGTCGCTCTGGAAAAACTGATTTTAAACTCAATGAGACTTTTACCTGGTTAAAGAGAGGAAGTGCCCTTATTTATTGTTTTGTATTCTTGAAGAGAATGTAATGTATGCTTGAACTTTGTTTTATATTGTTAAAAATGATAAGAGTTATCTTTCCCGGATGTCATGTGACCTCTAGCCCCGGATGTTTACTTTGTGAGTAAAACTGCGCTAAATGTCAATAACGTGCCTTTCTACTGCTGGTCTACTAGACGAACACGTTTTCACGGTGTTTCATAATTGTTCCAAGAGGTAAATAAACGTGATTGTGGACATCAGTTCGATGCGTAATGTTCTTTCAAGACCAGAGTAGTTACAGATATATATATATGTATTCCTGTGGTGCGTACCCGTGTCCGGAGGGAGCGATGAAGTAGAGGCAGCACTGCACTCTGCTGTCGGGCATCTGACGTCTGTTCACTCGAGATTCTGCGTTCAGATAATCCTCAAACTTACTGTCGATGTAGTCGATGACCGGCTGCCAGCTGAGGAACAGAAACACGTTACAGTACAGGGAAACATCTTCAGTATATTACAGTCAGAGATGTAGAAGTACACACATCCGTTACTCAAGCAGAAGTACAGATACTCGTGTTTAAAGATACTCTGGTAAAAGTAGAAGTACTGACTAAACTTCTTTACTCAAGTAAAAGTAAAGAGGGCTTTGAAATGTACTTCAGTAAAAAGTACCCATAACTAGCAGCTGTTTTAAAGAGTACCTGACCTCCCTTTATATTAATAGAACAATAATGTCATTGTTAGCTAATGAATGTTTCCATGCTGAACAACGGCAACATGACAACGTTTTCATTGGTCCCTCTTCTTTAGAGAAGACCAGGAAATGATGGATACACGGATCGTGTTCAAATCAATAGGCACGCAATGACTCTAAATAATAATGATCACGCCACCAAACACACATTCAAACTAAAGGAACCAGCCTGTTTGGAAAATGTAAGAAGTTTGTGTTCAACATGTAAGAAGTAGAAAGTACAGGTATTTGTGTTCAACATGTAAGAAGTAGAAAGTACAGGTATTTGAGTTCAACATGTAAGAAGTAGAAAGTACAGGTATTTGAGTTCAACATGTAAGAAGTAGAAAGTTCAGGTATTTGTGTTCAACATGTAAGAAGTAGAAAGTACAGGTATTTGTGTTCAACATGTAAGAAGTAGAAAGTTCAGGTATTTGTGTTCAACATGTAAGAAGTAGAAAGTACAGGTATTTGTGTTCAAAATGTAAGAAGTAGAAAGTACAGGTATTTGTGTTCAAAATGTGAGAAGTAGAAAGTACAGGTATTTGTGTTCAAAATCTAAGAAGTCAAAGTAAAAAGTCATGGAGTAAAGTGCTGATACCAGAAACATGTACTTAAGTACAGTAACAAAGTATTTGTACTCCACTACTTGCCACCTCTGATCACAGTGAGGTAAATGAACTCACCAGTTGCTGTTGTCCACGGCGTCTCCAAACCCCGGCGTGTCCACGATGGTGAGCAGGAGGTGAACACCACCCTCTTTCACCAGGACCTTCGACTGCTCCACCTGCAGAGGAACACATAGAAAATATTTTATAATACTGTACATTACATTACATTACTTTTTTTCAGCTGCTTACCCAGAATTCTTTTAACTTGTTTTAGCACCTGCTCTATTTACAATGTTGTGTTTAAACTATCTCTTTTATGCATGGTTTTTATGAATCTGTTATTCCATTGTGTTCCTTTCTGTTGTCTTCTTATTAAAAGGTAGGGTAGGTAAGAATGGAGAAACCGGCTCGAGATCGCTAGAATTTGAAAATACACAGCCGGAAGAAATCTGCCACTTCCTTACAGAGCCCCTCCTCCAACACACACGAACGCGCACATGACCAATGAGGGCACGAGATAAGTTTGTGCACAGATGGAAGGCTGACAGGCAGGTAGGCCATCCAGTTATTTTAGCCGGGCCGGCTCAGATGATTGGTCGTGCTTTTTACAGCGCCACGGCTTCCACAGATGACATATTTGTATGTATTTATTGGCAAAGCATTTAATGTATTCATTGCTATCGGGATGTTAAGAGCATTCCATGGAATATAACAAGTGTTTCTGAAGTGAATTACCCACCCCACCTTTAAATGTTAATGATGATGTAAAGCACTTTGAATTGCCTCTGTGTCTGAAATTGTGCTATATAAATAAACGTACCTTACTGTGTTTTAAACAAGTGCAAACCAGAGAGCATGGATAAAAACATTAATCTAAAAAAAGGAAGAGATGATTTTTGCAAGATATAGCTTTTAGCTCATTTCCATCTGCAGTCCTGCAGGTACACGAGATTTAAATAGCAGAAACAACCATAAACTACAATTAATTTACATTAAAATTGCAGACCAGTTGCCATAGAGTCTATTCCCTTAAACGTATCAGTGCTTCGACCCAATTTCTCTCCAGTCTGTATTGCACATTGCTGCATGAGTGCAAGTAGAAGTACCTTTTTGTAAAACATCTATAAAGATGACCAAAGCCAAAGCCACAGCATCATGAGTTTCAGCATGTGACACTTCATGCATATTAGTTTATATTTAACTATTTATTCACAAGGTTACACAGGTTTGTTTTCTACCAGTGAGCCGACACAACAGGTGTCTTCAGTTAATATCTGACCAACAGCACCTGACAGTCGAATGGTTTTAGCTCGTGGAATAGTGTTTGCACATGAAGAAATATTAAAGAGGCCCTATTCTGCTTCGTGTGACACTCCCTCTCCTGTAGTGTGTTCGATAGGTGTTCTTTGCCTGTGTAAATGGTCTGCAAAGTATTCCTTCCAGAGGGAGTTTCTCAGAACTAAATCAGCGCTGCAAACCCATTACTCACAGTAGACCAAAACTATTTAGCATCTTCTAAACATGCAACCTCAGGTCTGTGTAGAGCGTTATGGCGCATTTCCACTGCAGGGCCTCGCACGGCTTAGTACGGTATAGTTAGGCCTTGGTAGGCCAGGCTCACTTTATGCTGCGTTTCCATTACAGTTTAGTAGCTGGGGCAGTAACTATAGTAACGCAGTGTAGGCGGAGCCGTGACGTCATCTTCAATGAGAACCACAAAACCAACAGCAGCCGTTAGCTGTTAGCACTCAAGCTCACAGTTCCTCATATCTGTTCAGAAACTAGACACAAGTTAAACAAGTACAAACCACAGACTGTCTGTGTCATGGTGAATACAGTCGCTGGTTTATTTATGTCTGTAGGCCGTTGTTGTGAGTGTGGACGGTTGGAGCATATACTGCGTTAGCTTAGCCGATCTCCATTCAGAAAACACGCATTTTAAAAGGTTTTTCTCCTGCCGTCTGTCTGCAGACTTGACAAAGCATTAATTCATGGTTTTTACTAACCGGTATCAGTATGTTGTTACTTCGGCATCATTTTGAAACGTGTATTACAATTAAATCATGGTCAAATGTGTTCATTGTGTTGTAGTTGTAGCCACTCACATCACTAGTTTAGCATACTCAGCCCGGTTGTTGGCCCGGAAAGAACCACGATTTTGGAGGGCCAGAAAAACTGTGAAAAAGTACCCGTTAGCTGGAACTACCCCTAGTGGAAACGCAACAAAAAACGGACCGGGTTTGGCACGGCACGCTTAAACCGTGCTACGCGCTGCAGTGGAAATGCGCCATTAGAGAGATGAAGACGTGGTGAACAGAGCCGGCACTGAACGCACCACAATGATCAGAGTCCGAGCTTTGATAAGCGTCTGTGGGGTCGAGACGGGACTCGTGATCAGGCTCTCAGGCTGAGTGAGTGATGGGAAGCAGTTTCTCTGAGGTCAAGCGAAGGCCACACAGCTGTTCACACACAAACATTCACACTCCTGAAATACATACAGCATTTCAGCCCAACTTGGTGTATATCTTCCTGAAGCTTCACGTCACCACCGCTAAGCTAAAGGCGGCTAATATTAGGCTATAAAGGAACTACAGCACGGTCACATGACTTCACGTCACCGCCGCTAAGCTAAAGGAGGCTAATGTGGGGCTATAAAGGAACTACAGCACGGTCACATGACTTCATGTCACCACCGCTAAGCTAAAGGAGGCTAATGTGGGGCTATAAAGGAACTACAGCACGGTCACATGACTTCACGTCACCACCGCTAAGCTAAAGGAGGCTAATGTTGGGCTATAAAGGAACTACAGCACGGTCACATGACTTCACGTCACCACCGCTAAGCTAAAGGAGGCTAATGTTGGGCTATAAAGGAACTACAGCACGGTCACATGACTTCACGTCACCACCGCTAAGCTAAAGGTGGCTAATGTTGGGCTATAAAGGAACTACAGCACGGTCACATGACTTCACGTCACCACCGCTAAGCTAAAGGAGGCTAATGTGGGGCTATAAAGGAACTACAGCACGGTCACATGACTTCACGTCACCACCGCTAAGCTAAAGGAGGCTAATGTGGGGCTATAAAGGAACTACAGCACGGTCACATGACTTCATGTCACCACCGCTAAGCTAAAGGAGGCTAATGTGGGGCTATAAAGGAACTACAGCACGGTCACATGACTTCACGTCACCACCGCTAAGCTAAAGGTGGCTAATGTTGGGCTATAAAGGAACTACAGCACGGTCACATGACTTCACGTCACCACCAACATCTAAGACAAAAAGCAACACAATAGGTAACACAAACACCATGTATAGGCTTTGATTTCAGTCCAACTTAAAGTGGACCTATCATGCTATATTATAATAATATAGTGTAGGACCATACCTATATAAGGCATATTTATACTTTTTGTTTTTCAAAATACTAAACAGATCATGCATTTTAGCCATGCCTCATTTCGCTGAATTTGAAAAATGTTAGCTCTGTTTTAGCAAGGGCTGATTCAGTGAGAACAGCACCATCTACAGGCCTGGCATATGTACTACAGTGTCTCCAGCGCTTTCGAACGGCAATGGCCGTGGCTGTCTCCTCCTGATTGGTGGAGTTGGCCCAATAGCCGTAGCGCCACTGTCCTAACGTCAGGACAGTGTTCAAATCTGGATCAGTTTTTATCAGATCCGTTGCAGCCCCTTTTTTAGAGATTTGGGTATGGAGGAAAATAGAGAGGGTTGTGTTTTCTGACACTTGGTGAGTTCCCTGGAACACCGGGGACACATATTCATGTAGAAAAGACGTACAAAAGTGCATTTTGCACGATAGGTCCCCTTTAATGTATATCATCCTGAAGCTGATGACTCCTGACAGATTATGAGTTCTGACTGAGAGGCGTCAGTGTGGAGTTTTAGAGAAATTGTAGAGTTTCCTGAGCCACATTTGAGCTTAACCTCAGTTTAAATGAGCCGATAACGTACACTTAGAGCACCGCAGGCTGAAGGGCTGAACTCTCTCTGCACCGCAGGAAGGCTTCACATCAGATCCTCACAACAACATGAAAACTCAAACATGGGCAAAAAGTCAGAAACATAGAAACAGAAGAGCTGAGAGATAGTAGGGAGGCCTCTTGAACACTACTTAGGATGAATGATGGGACAGAGAGTACGTTTATGTGATTTAATGTTAATGGATTAGTATTTTGGGGTAGGCTAACTGAAACATTTATAATCACCAAACTACAGAACAAATTCATGGCAAAAGGATTCAATTAATGGTTATCCATTTATGTTTCTTAACAAGATATTTCACTGACCTAACAAAGCCCTAAAACTGTTAAATACCTCATGAAATTAAGATAAAATGTACTTTATTAACCCCAATTTTTGTTTTGTTTTTTGTTGCAGCAGCATAAAAAAAACAAGGAATTTTACATGATAACAAATTAAAAGAGTAGAAGTAAACAATTCTGAAATATAAACATCTCAAAATAGAAATAGAAATAGAAATAAACCATTATTAGAGAGTTCAAAAATATACAGATGACCATGAAGATAACAAATCTATAAACTGTCTGACAAATAGAAACTGTCATTCTGAAAAGAAAACTGAAATTCAGGATCTGATAATGTATTAATTCCAGCTACGTTATGCTGACATGGCTGCAGTAAAAAAGTCCTGTTCAGCTCAGGGATGATTTCTTTCTCCACCTCAGCCCCGTCTACATCTCGTTTGCGCTGCTTAGCTGCTCTCTTTGTGGCGTCATCATTTATCACAAAGACAACATTTCCCAGCAAAGCTTTTACAGCGGACCCTTAGCCCTTTGACCCCGCTCATTATCACCAGCATCAGTCATGTCCTGATATCCATCACAGGCTGGCTGTTTGGATCTGACCTCTGACCTCCAGAGCTGCTACCGGCAGGGGGGCCTGACAACGTGTGCAATGACTAATACTTTTTTAAATACCTCCTCAATTCCATAGAAAACTAAATAAACATGATTTATACGAACTGGTGTGAAAAAGAAAGCTACTGCAAGATGGGTGGAATACTCTTAGTCTGTGAGTCGTTAAGAAAGATAAAATGCCATCAAGACTAAACTGAGATGCCTTTGAGATGACATCACCACCGCTAAGCTAAAGGCGGCTAATGTTGGGCTAAAAAGGAGCTACAGCACGG